ACTTACATTCTCCTGTATCTCGTGTTCTACTTAAAACAATGTTGGCGAATGAAAGTGATACCTCGCGACAGGACAATTGAAGTCTTAAAAAGCTTAATCGTAAAACAATCTTGCACAACTTAGTACAGTTTAGTTCATGACAAATCAAACAGCACGTTCGTATAAACTTTTAAAAGAACATGACGATATTCCATTCGGAGGTTGTTTTGTATAAATAGGACGAAAACCATAAAAATCTATAATTATCCGATTACTCAATGTTTACTATCCGCACGTTATCTGCAAAGTATGCGTGACATTCGCTACCTTCAAACAGTTGACTAGACGTATACCTAATATAAATAGGTAATCCAGATATCACTTTCCATAGGTATTATATGTTCAACGATTATGTGGAACGGATGCGAGATGACTATACATAAAACTAACACAAGTATGCATGTAATTGAAATGACAAAAAGGAGTTTCACGGTTACTTTAAATACATCACTTTCCATGTAAAAGTACGAAATACATCTTACAAGAAAAAAAAAGAAAATAAGTTTACCATCATTGCTCTTGCATACTTTGCAAAGGAATGTGAAGATAGTAAACAAATAAGAGATGATAGAAATCTTTGATGTTATGTTTATACAGTATAAACTCACCATTTTACAGTAATCTTGTTTTATTAAATACCTTCAAATGTTTCAACTAAATAAAGGACCCTGGAAGATCTTTGCTGTTTTTAATTTTAACATTCTTCCTCAGTTTTACGCCACAATATATCAACGATATAAACGTGCAAAATTTCGTAAGGCCTGGTTCACGGGTTTCGCCGAGTCCGCCCTGCAAGAGAAAACGAACCCGTATAAGTATTATTGATCTCATAACGAAACAACGTTACAAATTAAACTTTCGTATACCTTGTAACCGTACTATGAAATTCAAATAATTGTTCGGGTTGAGCTGTAGGTGAACCACCTGCGTTTTGCGATGGCATCGTTTTGATGGCTTCTTCTAAACAATTCGACAGCAACTGAACAACAAACATTATCCTCGTTGTAGACGAGTGACTGTACCTTTTATTTTAATTAATGATTAGTCTCGCATCACTTACTTCTCTATTACATAATGACAATTCAACGAAAACATCTGCTACGTCCGACAACATGTAAGAGGATAATGAGAATACTGATGCATGGAGTAGTCTCATGACTAAAGTTTGTCCCTTTTCTCTTAATATGCGTTGCACCAGTTCTCGTCGCATCGAGTAATCACTTCGGTTCTTCGAGAAAAATAGTAAATGAAAAAATCAATATTTATACAATAATTTGAAGAGCGTATAATGTTTCTCTTTAAATTACCTCATGGTTACGACCGCAGTGTAAAAGGTCGTAAAAAAATTTCATTACTGAAACATTCGCATCCCTATGATCTAAACTGCAAGCCATTAAGGCACAGTCGATTATACTTCCTATTATAGCCGAGTGTAAGAAAGGTATTGGAGCTCTTTGTAAGAACCTGTTGGAAAAAGGTGATTTTATTTGTCAACTGAAATCCAAAGGAATTTTTATAAGCTGTATGCAATAAAAAGAACGTACCTGGCACATAGTCTAAAAAGGTCGTCCACCGTATCTGGATGATTCTTTAATCCATCCTGTTGTTGGAGAAGATTAAACGTAGGCCCAATAAATGCTTCCAGCATTGCTAATAGACCAGAAACGCATTCTGGATCCATTGCATATTCGTCAACTAATATTGAACCAAGATATAAAAAACAGCTGTGTTGATGCGCTGAATATAATTGCACGATCTAAAAGTTTGTGACACATTGAATAAAACTGGATAAACTCTTACTTTTCAAGAAACACGGACCTGTTTGACAAGTGGTTCAAGAAGATGAGCGGAATGTTTTCCTACGCAACGGACAGCGAATCTTAAACAACGACAACACCTTTCCATCACTTTCGCGTCTTGTTGATATGTTGTACACACATTCGAGAGTATTGGCCACATCTGTTATTTATAAAAGCAGAAGCATGAGTGACGCTTATTTTTGAACAGCATAAAATTTAACATATTATGGCGTTTCCAAGACCTACTTCGGTAACAGCACTCTGACAAGGATGAGGTTCGTTAGGGTCATCAATTCGAGGGTCAGTATGTCTAAATATAGCAGCTAATCTATCTAGCCATATCAAAGGATCAGTCTTTGTTCCTATTTCAATTGGAATTCTACGTTCCATGATTTCACACAATGGTCTAGCTTGGAACCAACATAGTTCTTTCATTGCTTGTGTAATTTCATCGCGCGGTAAGCTAGACATAATTATTGCTACTCCTATTGCAAAATAAAAACATATCACACAATATTCTTTGAGAATATCTTTTGGGATAAAGATCAACTTACCCTTGAGTAAACCGATAGCTGCGTCATTGCTAATAGCAAAACCGTCAAGAGAACGTGCGATCTGCAACAATCCTGGGAAATGTGAGGCCATGTGCAAACGACAGGCTGTACATATACTTAATAATGCTCCACAGGCTGCGCTTCCTAAACCTTTTTGACTTAGGCAGGTCAGTAGAAAATTTAAAACAGGTTCTAAAATGGGAATTTTCAGTGAAAGATGATTATAAAGGAAACTGTTGAAATAACGATTACAATCTCATCAAGTTTTACCTAAGGACTGTGGGTGACTATCTATCCATTCGCAGAGTTCTCCTAATAAAAGAATACTTGTATGACGTACAGCGATGTGTGTGTTTTCAGGTAAATTTAAGATAGCTTCTACTACTTTTGGAACTACATCATTCTCTTTTCTGAAAATAAATGTCAGAGTCAATGTCAACCTTGTGACACAACTAAAAAAAAAACTTACGGCAAAATATTTTTCGCAACTGCTTGCATTACAAACAGCGCAGCTTCAGTCGAATCCCATGTAGGTACGTGATTAGGTTGTCCCTGTGGACTTGGACCGCCCGTTAAGGAAGAAAACATTTGTCGAAAACAATGACTACTTCCAACAACAAATACGACATCTTTTATCAGTTCTGAAACACGATTTCTAAAATCGGCGAATTCTTCACCCCCGGCACCCTCCTCCACTAGACCCAGCTATTGAAAAAAAATGATGTATTTAATATCAAAACTGAAATAGAATTAGTACGCTTAAACATTGGTTACTGACATGATCTGGTTCCATTTGACAGTGCCTACAGAGAGCTCCGATTAATCTCTCAATGTGAGGTCGAAATACGGCATTAAGGTCATCGCTATTTCTTTGATAAAGAATTTCAGATAAACGATACCACAGATTAAAAGTTATTTGCGCCACCTGATATAAATAAAATTTGTAAAAAATTGAAAGCAACGCATTTGACGTAGAAAGAAATAAATACCTCATAGTCATGATGACCGACACACACTAAAACGAGGTCTAGAATTTTAATTGCATAATGTTGCTTTCCTCCAGCACAACCATTTATCATGGTTTCCAAAAACGTTTCGGCCAATTCCGTAAAAATTCGACAATAATTTATCGACCTAAATAAATTTTCATGATTAGCAACAGCACGTTCAAGTTTATTTTGCAAAACTATAATCGCTAAATAAATATAATAAAAATGATTTACTTGTCCATATCTTCATATGCAACAGATAAATGATAAGGTTGTTCCAAAGCTATTACACTAGTAAAAAGCCATAATTGTAACTGTTGTAATTGTAAACTTGTTTCACTATTATTATCACGATTACTATTACTGTCTTCTTCTAAAACTTGCAAAATTACACACATGCAATCTGCAGCTGCTTCATGTATAGGAGACATGGTCATATGGTTTCCAAGTATCTAAAAGTCAAGTAGTCCATTAGATTTCAAATTTTAGAAAATTTACAATTACTCGAACAACTTACTTGAAGAGTATATACAATAACATCACTTGTAGGTGCAAGGGGTATAGCGTGTACTGCAATCCAACTTGTAAAACATCTTAGAATTGTACAACGAATATGACAACTTTCTCCACCATTCTTTAGACACATTTTCTGAGAATGAAAAGTTTAATTAAGAATTAAGGAGTGATAATACATAATTACTCAAATTGTTTCAGTGTACTTACAAAAAATTCAGTTACTGTGTCAGCACTTGCATTGAGCTCTTGTAATATATGTTGTCTGCGATTGGCTCCTAGTCTACACAAGCAAATTTTAATTTAGACACTGATTTAACACATCTAAAACTTTTTGTTACAATGTTCTATTTTTAGTTGAAAATTTATTATACCTAAGAGATCTTGAATTTACTTCTTCTGGTAATACTGTCATTACTTCTAGCAATGACCATAAGTTATTAGTCGATCCTCCAAATCTATTTATTAAATCTACAACTGGTTTTTGCCATGAGGACATTTGCAATGCAAGATCAGCCAGAGCCAAACATAACTGTAATTACAATTATAATTATAGGAAAAAAACAGAAATATTACAATATAAAATATTAATATGTAATATATGAACCTGTGTGACAATAGCCAAATTAGTGTTTTCATTAGTTTGTGATATGTGATTCAATAAAGAATCTCTTAAAGCAATATGGGCTTCTGCAGGTAGCTCTTGAAAACACAATTGTATCTTAGTACGCATTGTCTGTGCAGCAAAATAACAAGATTGTACATCTCGTTTTTGCTGTAACATTTCATTTGCTATTTTCCATGCAAAAACCTAAAATGATACATAAGTACAGCAACTGTTAGTTTATCATTCTTCCCACTTATGCCCATACATACAAATAATGAGTACTATTACATGAAAATTATAATGAATGGATATCAATATACGGATGTAAGGTTAGAAACCATTTCACCTCTTCTTATTTTATAATTGTTTTTTTACACGGTTGTTAGTACAGGTTTAACAACGATCACATTGTCGACACGGTAGCAAGGCAGAATATTTGCAAAACTTTTCAGTTCAGAAAATAAGTAACTGAAGGCAATGAAACACCGCTAACAAGTAGCTTACCGATTTTTGTAATTCGTCCAGCCATTGAGATGTTTTCCCTGTCCCCGAAGGATCCGAATAATTATATAAAGAATACACTGCCTGGTAGACAGTTTCCAGGTCAGGTGGTAACTCCATTCTTCAACAAATAATCGTTTTCCCTGTAATCTCCATACAGTTGACTCTCACTGACAACAGATCGGTCGCGTTTATTAGACCTATATCCAACCTATAAGATCAACTGGTACAGTCACGAAACAGTTCTCATTCGCGCTGTCAGCGCATATGCTGTTTTATCGACTAACAGCAAACGGTTTCTATTCCTAAAATTCTAATTGCTTGAATAAAAAAAAACATTTACTTACAGAAACTTGTTTCTTTTCTGTTCTTCAATATAATACAATATTAATCACTGATCAGTGGTAAAAGGGAAATAATTCATACAGCACAATTACTTTATCATTGGTAAGTTATCAGTGGGAACTGAACTTTATAAGACCATTAATATCCAACGTCTTATTTTGCTAATACAGTCACTTTTCACTTTTTGTAATCATTACTTACAAATACTATAAGAAATGACAACGAAACTGCATCAAAATGAGTAAGCAGCTGTCGATGGATTAAAACGGAAGGAAAATTTTCTTTTGAGGTAAACAAATTTTAGTCGTAACGTAATAAAAGATACTAGGAGACTAGAATAATAAAAAAAGTGAATCTTTAAACATTATACATTTGAACTGTTTTTCACTTGATGCTTGAGATTCGTGAATTTTTAAACGATTTCCTGTTTAAACATTCCGGAATTTCAAACAACCCGCCGTTCATATGTTATCCACAGAGTGCCTCACGAAAGAATACGTGTACCTTCTATAGTTGAAGAATTGCGATATTTCCGTACACCATGCTACCATGAGTTCTACATGATCTGTGTGAGCGATGCGTCGAAAGTTTATGACGTTTGACAGTTGGACAATAAATGCAAGAAATAACATCTGAAAAATACAATGAATGATTATAAAATTCCGATAATCGAGCCTACTATCGATTACACGAAGGTGCAGATATTCGTCTTCAGCTTTCTCTAATCGGTTTGCATACTGCTACCCAGAAAAATGATTTACATCTCTCATTCTCGATTTCATTCTTGCTTATCTTAGGTTCCAGCAATTAACCAGAAAAGGACAATATCGTTTATTAATCACTTTATTGTGCATACTGTTACATTCCTGAATAAATTTGTACTATCCTGCGAGGAAAGATTATTTGAATTTGAAAATAAGTTGCAGAGAATTGAAGCCTCTTTAGCAATTTTAGAATCTTGGGTACGTAGGAGTTGATAAATAAAATTGCCAAATATATTTCATGGTGCTTCCAATTTTTGGAAAATGTAAGTAATCTATGTATTTTTTATAGTTATCATCTGTTCCTGATCTGGAACAGAGTAATCAAGAAAACACGCAAGGTCCTGTAGGAAGTACTACAGAGGAAAAGCAGAGTACATCAAAAATAGATGAACCTGATGCTACTACTCAAGAGGAGCCTAAAAATATTCAGACTGAGGAACAACCTGTAAATAAAGATCCCCGTTATGAAAAGTATTTTAAAATGTTACATTTTGGTGTATCGAAAGGAGCAGTTAAATTACAGATGCAACATGAGGGATTGGACTCGTCTATATTGGAGTAAGTTCCAATTAATTTGTTTTAGAAAATAAATAATCAAAACCACAGCTTATAGTTGTATCCGATAATATTATTTACAATGCATTAAGTATAGATGTTGAAGTGTAATGAAGATCATTGATAAATAGAATTATTTTGCTTAAGTAGAAAATGATAAATTATAATTTTAATGCCTTTGGATCGATGTTTAAATCATTTTTAACATTGTAATATGGTCCAGTGTGTTCAAACGATGCTTATTTTTTTATCTTAACAGTGATTCCCAGCATATAGTTTCTAAGCCGAAGTCTACAGATAATGGTGAGAATGAAGGAGATTAAATGATTAGTTGTATTCAGGTGTTAAGGATAAAAAATATTTTTGCATTATAAGACAATTAATAAAATAAACTATACAAATTCCAAAAGATTTATTTCATTTCTTATTAAATACATACAGAAAGTTAATGTATATAACTTCACCCTAGAACTGGATCATTTGTCCCTAAAACAAATAATAATTATTACGTTAGTTACTGTTTATTCCTTTAATAATTTCAGTTGTAAACATTTATGTAAGATGCTTACCTTTCTCTTCTTATCTCCTCCTAATTCGAAGTGCTTGCATCTCTTAAGGGGAATCTGTTTCCTATATTTGCATTCTGTACATTCCATTCTCAAGACAATTTTCTTTGTAGTTTTCGCCTATAAGAAATACATGAAGTTGCTTATGAAAACTGATGAATTCATCTTTAAACTGTCAGTAACAAATATTAATCCTAAGAAACCGCAAAATGAATGTTTCATAAAGCATACCTTCTTTCTGAAGATAGGTTTTGTTTGACCACCAAAACCTTGCTGTTTACGGTCATAACGTCTTCTACCTTGAGATGCATGCCTTTCTTTGCTTTTTTTATATTGTGTCACTTTATGAGGCTTGTGTACTTTGCACTTTTTGCAGAAAGTACGCCTTTGCTTCGGTACGTTAACCTGAAAGCACAAAATTATACAAATTATACTAACGTGTAAACTTTATTACTGTATTAAACATTGCATTGAACCTATACGGTATACAGAAAATTTATATCTTCATTGTTTCATTCAATTTATCTGCATCGAACCTCTTTTCACACTCTCTCATTGCACAAATTATAATATTTTATGCAGCTTTCTGTCAGTTATTAAGGTTATGTTTCCACTCGTATACATTCACTGGTGGCCGACAAAATCGTAAAATATTGCATTCACTTTTCAGAAAATAATTTGTTCGCTTGAAATTTAAACATTCTAAATAACGTCGTTCAAGGATCGATGTCCTAATTCTAGATGAAATACGTGTATTTTGAATCGCACATCTACCTACCATCTTGGATGTTTAGAAAGAAAAGGAAACGTACTTTAACCGGAAAGTGGTATGTATACGTACAGTGCGCATGCGCTTGTAGTCATACGTTGCACAGAATTTAGAAATTTAATATTTTTTTTTTTACACTTAGGCGTATATGTTAACACGGTCATTAATCTAATACTATTCAGTAAAATTCAATTTGTACAATATTCCTATAAAAGTGAATACAATCTTTTCGAGTTCCTTGAAACACAAAATTTCGATTGCATATACGCCATTAACAGCCGGCGTCAAAATCGGTTTAATATATAAGACGTCCAATCAATAACAGCAATTGTGTTACAATGATTTTCTTTTTCTTATTTTTCATAAACAATTTGCAAATAGCATATCGTCTTAGCAATAAAACGTAGTTAATATCCGCTCAAAGTAACAATAAACTGCGGAAAACAAGGCACAAGTACAATAAAGACGAAACGTATACTATATACGTGACTACGTTACATATTTTATTCCGTTTTTATCTATGGAACTTGGAAACTTAACCTATACGATTTTTTTTCAGATATCCACGTCCCCCTGATTACAATAATTCCTTATTCGAATTGAACCGTAGAAAATATTCATACATATTTCGCAACGTTGAAAATGCTTCATCGAAGGTCTCTCTGAAAAAGCAAAACCACGATAAACATCACATTTTTCGACGACAGGTACGCGTCTTCGTCGTTCGAAAATCCTGGCTCCTTTTTCCTGTACGATTCCCGCCGCGATGGCAGCAATATGTTGCCACGATACATCCGATTCAATTTCCGAATTTCATCGATATCGAAGCGATCCCGTTGTTTTCTAGAAAACGTCGACGATACACGCGGTGTCGATCGATTTCCCGCGATGAGGAAGATTCGAAAAGAATATAAATGAATTGTAGCGAAGCAGCTTATTTGAATCGAGTAACTTAGCCTCGAACCAGACGTCGAACCTCGGCCACGAACTCTCGAACCCCTCGTCCTCCGCAGGATTTAATTTTATTTATACGTCAGGTGGACGGATTACGCGGGAAACGTACGCAGTAAATAATAAAAGATTACGCGGCGTTATAACGTTTCCAATTAGGTGCAGTGATACGTCCCGAAAGGGCATTACGGTTTCAACCAATCAGGCATTTATCGAGTTTCAAACCCGCGCCATCTTCATTTTTGAACAAAGCCAGGTTGGATGTGCTAGGAGCGAGCCGAGACCGGGTAGTAGTCAGCTTTGCGCTATTCGCGCCACAGTCGTCAGTACACGATACTCTCCACTCCTGACTGGTTCGACTCTGTCTCACCCTCCTCTCCCCTCTCTCTCTTTCTCTGTTTCTCCCCCCTCTGCCCCTTGGGTTTTCGCCTGACGACGCTGCTCTCTCGGGCATTTCGCCGGAAACCGACGCCGCGCGAGGACACGGAGTCTCGTTACGTGTTACACACGCCACCGCTCTATATCTTTTTCCACCGTTTTGTAAGCGGACACGCAGGCATCTTGCCCAACACACACCTTCCACCATGAGTACTAAGGAAAACAACGAGGTCGTTATCGAGAAGGTGTCCGAGAACGACAAGGCTTCCGGGGACGCGAAGTGCGAGATCAAAGGAATCAAGAGGCCGGCCGAGGTGAGTAGTGTCTTGTTTTTTTTCTCTCTCTCTCTCTCTCTCTCTCTCTCTCTCTCTCTATCTCTCCCTCTATCTCTCTCCCTATCTCTCTCCCTTTTGCCATCCGATTTCACGTTATATCATTCCCATTATCGGTCCCGGTGATATTAGTACGTAAGGCAATATTACCAATCGCATTAAAGCACGTACGACTTACACACGCCGGCTTTACTACACCATGCTTCCGCGCCACGCTGCTCGGTCACGGCATCGTCTATGATTTCACGGAATCGTCGCGATCATAATACAACGCCAGTAGTTATTTCTGGGTATCCGAATCGGCGGTGTCCCCGCCGTCGAATTTTCCCGCTCAAACGGTTCCGCGCGTGGATATATTCCTCCCATCGGACAGAACGGGCAAAACATTATTAAAATTTCGTGGACGGTACGTATCGTGTACACTCGGGGAACAAACTGGTGGGCGGCGGGCAGTCGAGTGGCCGTTTCGACCGACTGACGGCGCGGAAGAAGATAGAGGATGCCGGCCGGCATTTTCCCTCTGGGTTCTACACCGTTCCCTCGTATCCCTCGTATCTCGAACGCTTTTCCGTCCCCCGGTTTTCCCGCCCGCCCCTCAAAACACACGGCAGCCGCGCGTGTGGAACGCGGGGCGATCGTGTTTTTCCGATACACACACAAGAGGATCGGGAAAGGGACGCCATCGTATTTCGCGTGGCTGCCACGAGCACGATGAATCGTTCGGTTGATCACCCCTGTCGTTACAATGCCGTCTATAATTACCGATCTGGATTTCACGTTACCGTCTAATATCGGAACGAACGACACTTCGTGCGCGTCCGCGCCTCGATCGACGGGGGGAATATGTTTATGAAATTTAGGGCGGGATCTTCGGTTATACCCAGCGCCATGTGCTTCGTTCCCCGCACACCTTTTCGCGTTATTACGCGTCCTCGGACTCGTGCCCCGCCGCCGCGAACGCGATCCGTCGTCTGTGCATCGTTCGACGGGAACGATTCCGCGTTGTCCCGGTGTTGTGCCTACAAGATGGACGCCATTTTTCATCTAGAATATCAGTGTTGTAGCTAGGAAAAGCGAGCATCCCGCGCATTTTTCCGACCGCCGTCGCTGCCGCCACCACCGCCGTCGTGGGTTTCCATTATGGCGCCCGAAACCAAGCCCGCGTTCATTGTGCTATCTCGCTCGCGCTCGTTCCATCTTCGGCTCCCTCCCTTTATCGTCTTCTCTCCCTTTCCTCTATCTCTCTTTCTCCCTCCATCTCTCTCTCGCTCTCCCGCGCGCTCTACTCACACCACACACACACACACACACGCACACAATACATACACATTTACTCCGACACACTTTATGTGTCGTAATTGATCGATAATTCGTTATAAGAGGGTTAATCGTGTCTGACGGACGATCGATAGACTACCACATATCTCTTTCGGGTCGACGTGTTGCTCTGAAATTGTTTACCGATCTGCGTGCATAAACACCGCGTTGAAGGCTTCCTTCCTCGCTTTGCTCCCCCCTCTATCTGTCTCTCTCTCTCTCTATCTATCTATCTATCCATCTATCTATCTCTATCTTTCTTCCTCTATCTCCTCTCTCTTTCTCTCTCTCTTGCTCTCAGTCTCCCCTCCCCTCCTGTCCTCGAGTCTACCGGTGTTCAACTCCGTGTCTCTCTCTTTCCCTCGAAAACCCCACGCGCGCAGCCAGCGGCAACGCCATGTATTATATACCCATGTCTCTCCTGCCTCCCCATTCTTTCGCAGTATGCCGCGCGGTGTTACGAACCTTCGAGAAAACATCGACACGATTTTTCATCTTAAATCGGACCGCCGTCCGTTCCACGTATCCTGATAGCAGCGCGGCGTCTTTATTTTTAGTCGATAATGCGCGCCGTACGACACACCAGCCTCTATTATGGGGAGCCGCGAGGTGAAACTTGTTACCGAAAATGCCGGTAATCGTGGTGTTGTCCCCCACGCTCTTCTGTCGGTCACGTATCATATACAGTTCATGGCGAGAGAGGCGTCTTCGGGTAGCGGGAATAATACGTCACGTGGAAATCCACGAGTACAGCTGCTTTCGGTGATCCGAGGCGTTGTATATCCAGTATTTTATGATTATTATTGTTATTACGATTATCATTGTACTTATCAGTATGTACGGTGGTTCGTTTATTTTCTCGGTCGGAAGTATCGAAAGGGTACCCATAACGACGCCGCTTCCCTCCGCGTCGTTAGTGTTCCGAGTTAATTGATTTTTACTGGATCCACCGACGTGCAATCCGTTCGCGGGGCACGGTGATCGACGATGTATCATCATTGCGCTCCGATTACGTAGCACGTATAGCGAATTTGATGAATATTATCTAGCGCTCCGCGGAGAGAGAGAGACCACGCTATGACGCAAGCGCGCGTATCGTGTTAAGAGGAACGTGGAAGGAAAGGAAAAGGCGGGAATTACGAATGCCGATTAAACTCGAAGCTTCTCGTTGAATCGCGTTCCCTCGCGCGCCGTTTACAGGAGTAACTATGCTGATTATAAAGTTACACAACGTGACGTAACGAATCCGTAATAACTCGGGGATGACCGTTGTTTCGCTCGATACTCGGTTAATTGTTCGGTATTTGTTGATTAATCTATTACCTTCAATATACTTAACCTCTCTTCGAGCGGGAAATCTAACGACGTATATTAAACGCGATCGTTGATTAATCTGTTTATAAGAGATTTAAATTATCATCATCATGTATTTATTCATGCTTGTTCTGAACATTGTTTTTTTTTTAATTATTGAACAGGTGATATTCCACCGGTAAACGGTTGCTTTAGTAATTCCAATATGGTTAAATTGACGCGTGTTTCCGAAGAATTATATAACGTTTGATCACGGTGTACTCAGACGCTCGAGAGAATCGAGCTGAAATGTATGTACGATAGGTTATGAACGATTGGGTTATCTACAAAGACCTCGTGATTAGTAACAAGTCGATAGGTAATCGTGTCTCTGGGATAACAGACGGAATATCGTCGTTTCATGACCACTGTACACTAGCCTGGCACGTCACTGTCACTTGCCGTACGGTGTGTAAACGCCATGATAGCGTATAGAAGCGGCGGCAGTGGCCCCAACGGATTCTATAGTTTGAAGAAAGCGCGTCAAGTTTCAGAGAGACCGTCCCGCGTCATAACGCTCTGTCGGGCACATAATGGCTTCATGAATTACAAGCCGCTTTTTTTCTCTTCTCTCCTCCATTGATTTGTAATGCAAACGCACCGCGACCGATGCGCACCTCATTCACGTTTCATTGTAATTACTCTCAAACATTGTTATTCCAAACAGTATCTTACAGTTTTGTCTTTCTTCTTTCTCCTTCTTCTCATTCTTCTTCTTCTTTTTATTTATTGAATCGATTAACTCGATATTCATACGGTCCTGCCTCGAGTTTATGAAACGAGATACTAGGTTTCGTTTGATAAGGACGCTCGATAATACGAGAAACGGTTACCTTGAGGCAACACGGACTCGTTACGACTCTAACGCACGATTAGAGGGTGTTAGAGTCGGTTTACTCGAATAATCATCAGTTTTTACATTCTTCTCAACAATCCGTAGTTTTCCAGGCTCGTTTTTCCTTTTTCCCTTTGAGTAAACTTTTATAACGGCTTTGGTTTTGTATACGATACCCGGGCACGCTGTTTCGTGCTTCTCTCGCCCCTCCTCCCCCTCCCCCGTCCTCCACACTTTCCCCTCTGTCGTGAGCTATACGCAGCACGAACACATCCCTTCTACAAACATGTGTCGTAGTCGTGTCTGCCAATCCCTACGCTTCTCCCACCATCTAGTCTCTTAGTCGATTCCTCCCTTTGATTGGACGATGCAGTTCTCCGAGTTTTCTATGCCCTCTTTCCTCGTACTGGCGATACACACGGTTCGTGTGTATACACCATTACCGGCCAACCACCACCCTGATCACGGGTAACGCTGTATGAACACGAGTTTAAGGTGTACACCGGCATTTCGAGAGAGATTCGTACGGGGCCGTCGTCGTCGTCGTCGTCGTCGTGTGTCTCTCCCGTACACTTTTCGAAACGGTCTGCTCGTGTTTCCGTTTATCACAGCCGCGATTCGATACCGAGACCTCCTCCTTGGGTACCTCTCCGAGAGACACGGCCAGATAAGATTGAATGTTCCAACGGTCTAAGCGTTCGGTTTCAGAATAAATAAAGAATTAAGCTCATAAATTCTGCTCTCCCTTCTTCCCGTTCACGGTAAAATATTTTTCGCTTTGTTGGAACGACACCAGCGTAAAATGCTAAGGCGACGTAATTTTAGGCACTTTTAACTGCGAATCGCCTAGGATTAAACGAAGCCTTCTCTGGTACACGAAAATACTTAAAACTGTATTATCGCTGGTTAGAACGCCGAGGGATATTAATAAATTGCAGTTCGATAAAAATATATTTCGGGAAGAGATTTGCTAAGGTTATATCTATCTGGTAATTTTTATTATTTTACTGGTTATTTGAAATTTTATTTCTTTGGGTTTTTTGTTTCTGTTTTATTGTAGTTTTAATTGTAGTTTTTTAGGAGAGTGTTTGGTGTATTGTAGTATAATTCCCTGGTAGCTTCTTGTGTTTTCCTGTTCCGCCATATTTGAACGGAAGGTCCCCCTACTTTTCTTTTCGTGTCCTTACGTTTCTTGGCGGGAAGGGAATCCTCTTCATCCGCTCCCTCCCCTCTATTCTCGGTCATTGCCGAAGGGTCCCCTGTTCGTGAGGTCTCTCCCACTTGTTTCCACGGGCGACGTTTAACCTCCAAATATGTAGAATGTTTGAACGGAAATGGTTAATTCCTGATATGCTAATAATCTCTCGTTGAAAGTTCGAGGCACAGCGGGAATGTAACGCCGATGCTTTTGCCGTTTACAGGAGAAGAACGACGACACGAAGAAACAGAAGAAGGAGGAGAACGGCGACGGAGAAGTAGAAGAAGAGGAGATTGAAGAAGAGGTCGAGGAAGAGGAAGAAGTCGACGGTGACGGCGAGGAAGATGACGAAGACGACGACATGCCGGAGGGCGAGGAAGATTTAGAAGAGGGCGAAGGTGAGGGGGATTAATAATAATTGTCGCGTCTCTAAGATTCGAAGAATCTGTGTTACCGATCGTGGTTAGAATCTAGGCTCGCGTGCCACGCGAATCGATAATCCTTTGCGCGTCTATTAAGTAAACATGTATCGCTAGAATGAATGTTGTGTTTATCCTTTGTAGACGAAGAAGAGGATGATGCAGAAGGTGAAGTAGAAGGAGAAGTAGAAGACGAGGAGGAAGACGCATAATGAAAACAGGGAAGGAAGTATGTAAGTAAGAAGGGAGGTAGGCACATGGTGTCGTCGTCGATCTTCGGCAGTCTTCTCAGCAAACACTTACTCTCATATTGAGTGGTTGGTAGCAATGTTGAATATATCCATCGTGCCCGAAACCCGTATTGCTGGAACCTCCCAACCGTACGAAAGAAAAATTACCACCTCACCGGAGTTGTGGTGGGCTGACACGCATTAGAGGCAGCCGCAAATTCTGTTGTCTTGGCTCTTCGCAATTCTGGTCGTCTAGCCATCACCAAATGCTGTTAGGTAGTTTGGAACGGGAACCATTGATTCGTCATTACGGAGTTTAAAAATGAAACGCGTCGATTCCGTTTTAAATATCACGTTCAAAGTACTCCAGGGGACGCGCGTAGCCGCCGCCCGTGCACGCCTCCTCTCGGTACCAAATCGTACACACACAGACAGGGTTCCGATATGACGAATCCATTGTTTCGTCCAAACCACCTGCTAACTGGTATTTGCCGTCATCTGGCTTCTCTTCGCGGGACAGTTTTATAACGGAAACTTATTTAAGATATAAAAAGCTCTATTGTATTTAAATAGTGTAAAATGAACATTTGTGGGTGATGATTTTTTTACATTTGAAATCAAATTTACGTTTGTAGTTCGACGAATGTCTCTCACCTTGTGCGCGTGATTGATTTTCCTTTATCTCGACCTATACGTGTATTTGTAATGATATTGCAGGAGCGCGAGCGATTGAACAAAGTGGACAGAAAAGAAAGAAAGAAATAAATAAAACTATAAATGGAGCGGCGCCATGAAATTATTGAAAAATAAGAAAATCAACAATGCCGGATCGACATCTATATCGATGTATATTAACGGAAGAAAAGAATTTTTAAAAAAAAACAGTCTCGAACATTCTATCTCGTGCTCCTGTTTGATCTAAAAACAGGAATTAAGGTTAATGCAACGCTCGCGCCAGGTAGTGTGGATGAGTAATGTGTGACTTTAACATTGCATAATAATTATACATAGCATGTATAAAGTTATGAAATAAGAAACATTTTATTATTAACGATAACATTATGTAACGTAATGTAATGTGGAGAGGTTGTTACACTTTAGGCTTGGAGCATAGAGTAGGGAGAGCACATTTTTATTTGATATATACTCTTGCGTGGAGAATACTTTTCATTTTTTTCGAGGAAGTACACTACTGATGTTTCCGATTTGATTATATGAGTTCATATATATTACAAGATTTTGCCGTGCGGTGCAAAGCATTTATAAAAATGAAAGGAAAAAAAGAGAATAAAATTTATTTATGAGAATGCCAAGTAAGCCGAACATTCTCTCCCTATTCGATTGCTCTCGTTCGAACGTAATTCAGTTGTATTTTACGTACCGTGGTTTTATTTTGACTTTATTGTCATGGACTGCTCATAGCAATGATTCGTTGACTGTCTCTTAGAACAAGTGCGACAGTATTCATTATTACAAAACTTCCTCTCATCCCATTGTGAAGTCTTTTTTTCGTTTCAAATGAATTAATTCCCGTGATTGTTCGCTGGTTACCAATAACGATCGAAAGATGCTTCTCTTTGTATGCAAAAAGTCGGTGGATCGTTGCAGATTGAATGTCCATGCACACACCACTTATTTCGGGAGACTGGTAGACAAGGAAGGGTGATGAGACATTGCGGTTACGATACCATTGTACCATAGCTGCATAATAAATAAAGGTAACGATAATTTGAATGCGAGACGATGTCCCACGTTTTAATGTACAAATATTTTCGAATGAGATAGTTAAATAAAACGCAGTTAGATCAGAGAAAATGATTCGTTCTCGTGTGAGTAGTAATGGGTTTAAACCATCTGGAGACAAATTTACAGTAATGGCAGTATTAAAGATAAAGAAAACTGCTATTCGTGGACTGAATCCTGCTACATTGAATCCAAGGAGATGGGATGGACCGTGTAACGACGACGTGTAACGAACAAATTTTTATTCGATGTATTTACAAAATGAATATGCGACGAGAAAGATTATTCAGCGTGTATACCGTGAAAGAAAATAAGAGGAGAGATATCATGCTTGAAGCGTAATTAACAATCGATCATTGTACTAGTTTTACCGGCCATACCATCTCCAGAACTCTGTTACTCGACGGTTTTATACACAATCCGCTGCTGTATTTACACGTGTTCACTTCAAGATAGTACCTTGACGATCATCAATGTTGACAAAGAACTATCTTAAAGTACAGGTGCCTGAGCAAAAATAAGTACTTTAGCGTTCATAGTATACAATACATACACTATAAGCATAGGTTCATTTAATTTTATTAATACAATACCAAGCCCCGTTTGCAACATTGTCCGAAAATGGAATAAAATGGACTCGCGTCGTGTAGCTCGAGCTTCAGGAATATCTTCTTCTAACGCTCTAACTTCGCTCGACTGCTAGACGTGACTTTTAAGAAAATTATTTACTGGTGCTAACGGGTCTTAATCAATCAATCAGGCAGATCGCCCCCTCAGATACCGTTACATCCCTACGTTTGTTAGGTAAGCATTAAAAAAAGAAAAGAACAAAAACAGGAGTTTAAGGATCTTAAGGAAAATCTGGTAATGAAACGTGTCACGATTTAAACGTAAAACGAAATCTTAGGCTAAGAATTTGGTTTGTGTGTTCATAAGTCTTGTTCAAACTACTTTTGTACAGGATACCATCGCATCATCACTTTCGACGTAACAGTAAACACCACAGACTATATTTCTGCCCATTCCATCAGAATTGAACTTTCATTGTATTTTTAAGTAAATACATTTTGGAAAACAACACAAATGGTTTTTTATTCTTCACGTATTTGTGAAGGAATGAGTCTCTTCCCTAGAAATATAATTAGTTTGTAATACATGGACAATTAATTTATTCCTTTAAGATAATACTTTAGAGATAATACTTTTACTTCACCTTGTACATAAGTATAAGAATTAAGAATTGTGAGAGGTCATACTGTGTAAATAGTTACGAAACAATTAATAATAAAAAGAAATATAATGTACGTAATGAATATGTGATATTTGACTAAAATACTATTAAAGATTAATACTCGTGTATTATTTACACATAATAATTGTAATGTACGATTATAATATTATACTCTTAGATGTAATTTTATATGTACTAAGTGTATGTACCTGTGTATAATTTTATTTGTATCAGACACTGTTTATTTATAAATACTCTGTGTAATTATAGTACTGACTTTAAGGTGATATTTGGTAACTGGTAGTAGGATATTACGATTGCAAATACCGTGTATATATATATATATATATAGTATAGTAGTAATTTATGATGAAAAACATAACATTTTTTTCTCCATGTAATTGCAAAATAACATACTTCTGCTCTATGTTTAGGACAGATATTTATTTAAAGACGAATCAAGGTGCCTGGACGGAATGTGTGTTGGAGTTTTTATAACCGGGGTATACATAAAAATTGGAGCA